GTCACATGACTTTGGCAATTATACTTGCAGTTTAGAGGTCATCTATAAATTTCAATATTGCAAGGGCATAACCAAGTTAAAAATCTTAGTTTATTTTATAATCCTTTTCAACACTATATGTAGTTTGTGAAAAGTGCTGCGAACCTATATAGATTCCCATTTTTAATTGTTAAAATTTAATTTGTTGGACGGCAGGTTGAATATTTTGCTGGTCAACTACATTAAATATAGCTATAATTGATTTATTTGCAAGATTTCAAGAGGTTCGCAGCACTTTTCAAATATCTTAATGCTTCTTGAGTTTATGTGTAAAATTTTGACAAGATACATTGAGGGTATGCCCTTGCAATAAATCGAATTTTTAAGGCCCTTCCATTAATTTTTCTTTGAATCTGCATACAAACACACGACAGTATCGCTTGTCTGGAGAATGCACATACAGTTTATAAATAAAATACTAAAATAAACATCGCATCCAAGTTAACGGCTTTTTATTTTACTGCAAATAATATTTTATTTGAGACCAAAACACATTTTTCATTGTACAAATTGTGACTTGATCAGCCTCTCACTGTGTACAAACTGCGTCATTTTTCCGAGATGACGTCACATTGACAAGTGCATTGCGATCGATGCATCGTTTATATACTGTTGTGTGGGATTTAACAAATGACAAAACTGCATGTAATAGTAAGTTTGTATGTAGAAAACAGCTATCCAGCTGTTTGAAATAGCAAATAATTTAATTTTGTGGTATTTTGAAGACCTTGTATTATGAGTGACGTCATAGTAAACATTTCCCGTACAAATTAGGCCCCGCCTTCTTACTGTAACCTTAACTGTGCTGCGATATATTTTAGAAAAGTCAGATTAAGTCTATCCGGAAATTGTAATAATAGTGTTTTCCCTATTTTTTTCTATCATGAAAACATAAGCCATGAAAAAAAAACCTTCCTTGCTAGATAATGGTCATGGCATTATACACTTTACATGTAGAAATAAATCATGGGTTAGTTGAAATAAGCTCGTGTGTACATGTACATAAAAATGTCAAACTTTTTATCCAAGGTAGAAAAATTTTGATGATGGATCTCCCTGTAACTTATAATTATGTTTAACATAAAGAAATTAAATCCCTGCAAGACATGTACGCGTTTACATAAAATAAAAAAATAAAATTACGCTGAAAATCTGAAACTGGATATATTTCGATTTTGTTTGCATAAAGTGCAATTTCCTTATCTATAGAATACTTATATAAGTATAAGAATGTGTAAAGAATGTCTCATTTTGAAATAAATAGTGTTTTAATACTTACAATCGGAATGGTATAAAACGTGCTGGTTTAATCTTGGACATACATCCAGGGGAAACGGAAGCAGAGAGTGAGGAGAGGAGAGAGATGTGTTTAAAGGTATGTTGACATATATGCTCTATAACCGTTATATCTACGTTATGTCCTGTATGTGTACATTTATTAAGTAAAACGTATTTAAAATTTACAGCAATTACTGAGTATTGAGTTAGTATTTTTATCGGACGTTTAACGACAAATCAAACTCAATCCAATTACAATAAAGTATAAAATGAAAATATAATGAACGGGATTTGCCATCAAAGGTTTATTTGCGCAATACAAATTAATATCAAAGTCAAAATGAACCTGTGTAAAGAGGAAGGATTAGGTGCCATGGAGGAGTCATTATCCCGTGACGGACGGTTAAGCTTGCTTTGTGTTCCCTGTTCATGATAGGAAACAAGGGAACATAAACTTCGAAATTGTGAAAATAATATCCATACAACTTCTATCCAAGATATTAGTAGACAAACAACAGTTTGCACATACTTAAGCAATTTAGCTCATTTTACACACCATAGAATTTGCAAAATAATTTTAAAGAGGATTTAAAATCTTTTTTGTATTATTATTTTACTTTCTATAGTTCGCCTGTTGCATATCATTCTAACTTGGATACATGAACCCTATATACACAGGGCATTATTACTGTACATATAAACTGTTAAATGGATAAGAGAAATACAGAAACGTTGCCGTCATAATTATGTACATTAAATTATATGATATGATCACTTTTTATTTGTATAGTAAACCTGGTAGTCTTGGAACATGTGTATTTGATACCGATAACTTCTTTTATTGTAGATAACGGTGACATTGGTTTCCTTGGCAAATCTATTTCTGATGGCATTACCGGCTGTACACACTCTTAAACTAAGAAAAAAACCAAATTCCATTGTCATTGGAAAATCTAAAACAGACTTTACAGATCATGTTTTCAAAACATCTCACCCTCGAGTTGAGAGAAAACGGGATGTTTATAGAGGAACTGCTGATCTTGATGATTCCAGAGTACATCTCATTGAATTGGAAGAAGGCACAGACAGATCTCATTCGAGAAACCTGAATAATGTAAAGTATATGGCAAGAAAACTAGTCACCAAAAGGGCTGATAGATTGTCTATAAACTCTGCCTTATACGCCTTATCCTTAATGTTAAACAACAGAGACTCAAGACGGAGGAATTCTAGATTTCCCGTTGTTCTTATACCAGAGGTTCCGCCTGAACGGGCTCTATTTCGCGGTACACCGTCTGGTAAAATGCCATTCCGAAGACATTTTTCTCGTAAAATGGCACCATTGCATATCAGAACAATGCTATTAGAATTAGGTAAATAAAATTGTTTGATATAAATATGGATACCTTTTTTATTGCTTTTTTTTTCAAACTTATCTTTCTGGTGAAATATTATTTGCCATTCTGAACAAAGTATGTATACTCTTAACACTTATATGTATGTTAAGAAATAAGTATACAAGTACTCTTCGATTAAATCTATAATTGACATTTTTCCTTTTTGTGTTTCGGATTTGCTGAAAAATCTGAGTATTTTAACTTAATTACGATGGAACGTAAAACTGATAATAAATGAAGTACAAACGAAGGTGACCTGCAATGAAAATGACACACTCGTACAAATTCACACACGCTTATATATTTATTTAATTTCAATAGTTTAAAATTAGTAATAATATTAAATTATTCTTACCAGCAATTAAGGCACTAAGATTCCGTAAGGAATTTCTTAGATCAACTGCTAGGTAATAAATTTCTCGCAGGAGAACATCCAAATTATCGTCAATATTAAAAAAATAGTCCGTGCATAAGTATATTCTACTATAACTTACTTATCTCTAACTAAATTTAGTTTTACCAACACTAAGTAGTTATGAAATAATAAGACTTAATAACAAATCATTAAATTATGAACTACAATATACTCTACACATGATTATTAACAAAGTCAATTTAAGTGAGCTTAAGTTAAATCATAGTAGTTCTATTGAAGATGATCTTAAAAAACATAGCATAAAAACAACATATTAAATCTATATTCACACTAAAACTACAGATATATTCTGAATACCTGTGACATTCTCCCGTTTTTTGACTAGATTAACTAGTATGTTTGAAACAGGCTGTTCAATTACCATATCAGGATCTCTCTACCATTTATCTGCAAATTTTGATCTCCCAGAAAATACTAATGTTCTCACCAATACTCTATCTCCAACCTTTAACTGTTCAAAACGGACCTGTAATAACTCTGCAAATTTTGATCTCCCAGAAAATACTAATGTTCTCACCAATACTCTATCTCCAACCTTTAACTGTTCAAAACGGACCTGTAATAACTCTGTTTATACCTTTCATTGTTTCTGTCGATGTTACCTCTTGCCATTTAGTATGCGTAATTAAGTCTTTTCTTAAGCTTCTGAACTTAGTTCTCCCGACTTTTTGTCTTTTGTGGCTAATCTTCCAAACCAAGATAGGCATCGATTGCTAATCCAGGAATCCACCCAAACATAGGGAAATGAGGCAAAGATCCTGTTGTCTCATGCTTTGTTGAATTATATGCGTTAACTAATGGTAAAAGGTCCAATCATGCTTTTGATCACTGTCTTACGTCCCTAACATCTTCAGCAATATCTGATTAAACCTTTCAACTTGCCCATTTCCCAAAAGGGTATATATAATTTAGGAAAAACTGTCAGTGCAAAGTAAAATAAATATTACTGAAATTTCTATTAAAAATTTCTTTTTGAAAAATCCAACCTTAATTGCAATTATCAACAAAGCCAAGCAACTCATTCTTGCTCTATGATTTAGTATTTTATACGCCTATGAATACGCAATACAGTAAAGGTTACAAATGGAAATATCGGCGATATATTAAGATAAAATTTACATACTTTATAGGAATGGATGATTCTTTTTAGGACTTCACTGATATCTAAGAAAATATAATGTGGTTAAAATCTACATGTTGAGGACATTTAGATTATTTATTTAGACTTGTAACGTGATGTCAAAGTCACATGATTTTAGCAATTATACTTACAGTTTAGAAGTCATCTATAAATTCCAATATTGGAAAAGCATAATCAAGTAAAAATCTTTAATTTATAATCCTTTTCAACACTATATGTTTTTGAGAAGAGCTGTAAACATATATAGATTCCCTTATTTAACTTCTAAAATTTGATTTGTTGGACGGCAGGTTGAATATTTAGCTGATCAACTAACTACATTAAATTTAGCTATAAATAATTTTTTGGCAAGATTTTACGAGGTTTGCAGCACGTTCCAAGTATCTTAATGCTTTTTTAGCCGGGCTTATTGCTCAAAGAGCAATAGCCGGCTTATGGGATCCTGTTCAAGGCAGGATGTTGACCCAATAGTCGCCAAGTTAAACTGACGTTCTGAAATATAGTGTTTCTACTTGTAATCGCTGTTGAAACAATTTATACTCATAATCTGATTAATTAAATATGAATATAAACTGTACTGTAATTATTATTGTGCAGTTATCAAAAATACATTTGTTTTTAGTAGAGAACTTTGAACAAATTCCTACGCATAGCCTGGTTCCCTGTCCCTGTTTTGCTTCGTTTACTCTGCGTCACTGCCTCTGCAAGGATGAGACAGGGTACCAGGCTAAATTTTCCACTCATTCGGCAAACCGAATCAGCCGAGGAGTCCCGAATGATGCAGGTGGTTCATGGAAGGAACTGCGATTGCGGTAAGGCGTTCTCCATTCTATATTGGTCAAATTATACAGCTGGTACAACGAAACTTATGCCGAAATCGGAGACTGCCGTACAATCTGACCACGTTTTAAAGTTTGTGTATGACAAAGATGCGCTGTTTATAAGGGGAATTGTCCAAGCCTCCATGCGAGACTGGAGCTACCAGGTTACTGTAAGTTCATCCCATTTCTTTGAGATTTTTGGAAGAAAAAAAAGTTTTTTTAAAAGTCTTTTATGTAAATCACGAAATAATGCATAATGTACAACACGTTTGGAAGTATATATGTTTTATCCTGCCTATGCAATAAATCCAGAACAAACCTCTTTCCGAATTTCCTTGTCTGAAAGCGTCTATGCAATGTCTTAATACATAATAATAGTTAATGTACAATTCTTTTTTTTCTCTCTCCACAATTTTCAAGTTTCCATGTAAACATGCTTTTTACTTTTAAAATTGATAAGAATATAAGTAAAATTCTAGGTGGTTATTTTTTTTTATTTTTTTTTATTAGATTACTCTTGGTTCTAACTACACAGTTGAACAGAGTACCTGTGAATGTGTAAATGGGATGGACAAATGTCACCATAAAGCCAGCATTCTTCTCTGTGGGTAATTTATGTGCAATTTATGTAATATGTAAATTCACTTGGTCTGTTTTAGGTATGCTTTACCAAATTTAATGTTAAATAGAAATTATATCAAAACATGCACACCAATATATATACCCGGTATATACAAGTGTGCAGTGCACCATGTGACTGTAGGTACATGTAGCAGGGTACTATTCGTGCCCTGGAACCTCCAAGTCCACTACCTTCGCATATATAAGCATACTTGTAACTATAAAATCTAACTTTAGGCCCCAAGACTATAATATAACTTAGTAAATTTATGGAACATGTTGATACAGGTACAAAAATGTCAGCAAAACTGATGTACGCCAGAGTTGGATTAAGCATCCAAAGAGTGCGCCACCTCGTCAAACTACGACGATGGAAGAACTTTTTCCTGCACCTGACAGGTTTATAAATTACAGGTATGCATTTATTATGACTGTTTCATGAATGGTGCAAAATATTAAAAAATGACAGTACCCCAAAAGTGAAAATATAAAAAATAGAGAAAAAGCACATTTTTTATGGGCAATATACACTTTTTTCAATGGATGGAACTGTATCTCTCTGGTCGTCCATCCTAATTTTTTCAGACCAGCAAGCTACAGATCTGCAGCTAGCATGGTATATGTAAAACCATTCAGTGTTGTATTATGCTCCATTTTTCAACTTTTGTCAAAAATTACAAGGGCAACAAATAGGCCAGTCAATGATAGGGACAGGGAGTTCCTATATCAGAAATTGACAACTGTAGGGAGATTTTCAGGTTAATATATCTGGTGTTTTATTTTAGTGTCACATTGTTTACGACTTTTTTTTATTGTTACTTTTTTGAAAATTTATACTGTGATAGGATAGAATGCATATGCACATGTATATATACATATAAATTCACAAAACACCTAACTCATTACACCCGGACTTTGGACTTCAGATATTTAATGGCTTATTTGACATTGGACTGAAATTCTGACAAGATGTGCAGTCTTTCCATTCTTTTTGCTTTTTTTTGTCTTTTACATGTTTTTTTGTTCTTGTCTCTTTTGTTTTTGTGTTGACTTTGTTTTAAACTTTTAATTATACATTTATACTATCAATTTCAATTTAGTGTGAAGTTTTGCATCACGTCACAATCTTTTTTGACAGATGCATTCAGCGTAAACAATTCATGTGATTGATTAACTCATATTATCAACCTTGACACAGAAATAGTTTGTTGTACAAGCAAACAATCAGGGATTAGAAGAAAGTCCAGTCGTAAAGCTTGCGGTTAGGAGGCGTATACTATTTACCTTGAACGCATCTGTCAAACTAGAAGATTGTGACGTAACATAAAACTTCAACTCAACTGCAACCTTTAGTAAAATGTTTAAATATTATTCACCCTATTTCTCATATACTTAAAGGAAGTTATTTGTACATTCTTTTCACATGTATACATATTGAAATCCAAAATTTATTTGAAGTAGTCAATAAAATAAGTTTGAAAAAATATTTAACATATATACCAGTATTAAGAATTGGTGATGTAACTGCAGTATTTGTTGTCTTTTTCACCGAGGGTTTAATTTTTTTTAATTAAATCAACAGCAATGCATTGGATACTATCCCCCGAGCCGCCTGTGCCTCCACTTGCAGTGCCTCTAGTTGAAGACCTCATCTCTAGCCAGGAATTTATTTCTGCAGAGAATCCTATCGCTTGGATGAAGCAAAAATTAATGATAAATGAGCAAGAAATCCAACAGGTAAGAACAAATGAGTTGCATAATGAATAGAATGTATTCTGTTTTATTATGAATGTTGTTTAAGTTTTAAGATTTTTGTCATGTTTTAGATTGCCTATCTTACCACGGGTCAAAAGGAAAATTGCATGTGGTCATCTGTTAGGAAGAATAGATTAACAGCTTCAAACTTTGGTTGTGTTTTGGCAGCGATCAAGAGAAATAGGTATACTAGTAGTTTACATGCCTTTATATGTATATGTAATTATAAATGAGACTTGTAAAAGCAGTTAATTATAAAATCAAAAATATTGAAAGTTTGCTCCTTATATAACAGATATCCTGTCTCCTTACACAAAAGATTATGCTCAGCTTATGATCTGTCAAAGAAGGATGCCATTATTTGGGACGTGCAATGAAAAAGTCGCAATTGAAAAGTATAGAACTTTTGGGGATGCAGTTGTAGAGCCAACAGGTTGGCATATTTCTTTCCTAAGCAAATTTCAATTTCTTTAAAGCAAATAAAAATTGATGATAAATGAAAAATTTTCTTGAGCTAATTTATTTAAAATTCAGTTATTAAACTGAAGTTGAAGATAATGAATATAAATATACTGTTTTTATGTTCTATTTATAACAAGTCATCAATGCATAAGAAAATCAGAGTGTTGCATATTAATGCTATTTTGTAACTTTATAATACTGTTCATATTAGGTATCTGGCTACACTGTAATGGGGTTCTTGGGTCAAGCCCCGATGGACTCATTCGTCGTCCTGCTGCATTCGGATTCAGCTATCAGAATCCAGGACTCGCTGACATATTAGAGATGTCAAACGTTAAGCCAGAAATACTGGAGGTGAAATGCCCCTTTTCAGCAAAGAATATGACAATTCCAGAAGCTATTGAAAAAGTACATGATTTCTGCCTAGGTAATAATAGTGTATATGTATTTGTTTAAATATGTTTTATGTACTGAGATATTACTTTAAATAATTCCAATATATTAGTTTGGATAACTTTAAGTACAATTTAGCAATTGTTAAAAAAGTTTTTTCCTTCTGTTGTAATGTTAGTCCTCAAGGCAGATGATTTGCCTTCTCACTTTATTGTACAGTAAGGAACAAAATACTTACACATGTAAATATTTATTAGTTAAATAGTTTCGTCTTATAATAATGATTGAGGCACCAATGAAAATTCTTATTCTTTAAAAATCTTCAACATATATATTTTTTTCATATAGAGGTTCAGGATTTTAATGGAGTCAAGTCCTTCAAGCTACGAGAGAACCACCAATACTATGATAAAGTGCAAGGACAACTTCATATAACTGGGAAATCCTTGTGTGATTTTATGGTCTGGACACCAAAAGACTGTGCAATTGTGAGAATTAACAAAGACATCAATTGGGAGATCAACATATCTGTTTTGACAGACTTTTATTTCTGTAAATTTTTGCCGTATTTACAACAGCTATAAGATATAACATTAAACATGGTGAAAACATTTTAATTTTAATATCTTAGTTATCTACACTTGCAAAATTCTGAGCAATTTCCTGCATAAGGCGATCCTGAAAATTGACTAAAACACAGCATAATTGAAAGACTTTTGTAGAAATATATCTAAATTGCTGCGGAACATGCCTTAAAATTTCATAATTCTTAATACGCTCATTTGCTCTTTCAACATGTATGCGTGACTTAGCAATTTTTCGACATAGTTGGACCTCACTGGGGGTGTATTGGGATTTAGATGTAAGAAAGGGAGGAATATTTAGATGTACTCCTTGGGGCAACAACTTGTGAATAGTGAACCCTTTGTCTGCTAAGATCATATCACCTGGAGATAACTGTTCTAAGACTTTACAATGTTCTACAATTGCAACATCAGATGTGCTGCCAGGGTACAATTTACTAATAAATACCAAAGCACCATTAGGTGCAACACCTGTAACACTTTTAACAGTGTGAGAATTTTTGTATCTGCTGTATGTGCTGGCCTGCAATCTCATATCATTCCTGGAACATCTTGGGTGATTTCTGTTGCATTAAGTACTATTCTACATGAACTAAAATCCCCAAAACTTGTAGGCATAGACCCTTTGCACTTCTGGAGAGAAGGAATGCGACTCTCTACGAGTCCTTCATATAATATTTCATGCAAAGCACAAATCTGCGAAGTAACATTGTTATTGGCAGATGACGGACTCGTGTTAAACCTCCAGAAAAGGGGTGTTCATTGTCAGTTTCATTAAAGTCATCAACAATTGGTCAGTCAATGAAATGAAAGATGGTGTCCATCCATCAATATACTTTATCTGAAACCTCTGCATCATTTCATCAATGGCAAGAAACATGTCAGGACGTAGACTTGTGTACATCAGCATCTATATTAAAACATGATCGGGACAACATACACTAAAACAAGATCGGGACAACATACGCTATTGCTTGCAATAGCAGACTTTCTAGTCATTATGTCGTCCCGAACGAAGTTGGGGACGACATATTGCGATTGTATGCATGTTTTTAAATACATCCCTAGTGTATCAGTAATATGATCATTTTTCTGCTAACTGTTGTTGTTGAAACACAGGTAACAAAATTCGATGATAATCAGCATGCACAAAATTTTGCTGGCTAACTGTGACCTCTTAGCTTCGGACGTAGGAAATATTGATCCTTAGTAGTGCCTGACGCCATGACATAAGGCAAGAAAAAAATGCTCAATAACAATAAAGAACAAGTATATAAAGCTCAAAAATAAAAAGATAAAATCACCCTTATACTTCATCAAAGTTAAACCTATTGTTCTTATATAAAATTTAATGATGCTTTTTCATGCGCTCCATCTAATAATTCCTTACATCATTCATACTTTAACTGATACCTGTTCTTTTCACCTGTGTGCTGTTCTTAAGCCCGGCTTTCAGTACTTTCAGTACTTTGATTGAGTTTATGTGTAAAAACATGGCAAGATAGATGAAGCCTAAGGGTATGCTCTTGCAATAAATCGATTTATTAGGGCCCTTCTCTTTTTCAATGAATGTGCATACAAACACATGACAGTATCACTTGTCTGGAGAATATACGGACAGTTTATAAATAATATAGTAAAACAGACATCGCATCCAAGATAACGACCTTTTAATTAATTGCAAATAGTATTTTATTTGAAAACAAAAGACATTTTTCTTTGTACAGAGTGTTACTTGATCAGATTCTCACTGTATACAAACTGGCGTAATTTTTGCAAGATGACGTCACACTCACAAGCACATTACAATCAATGCTTTGTTTATATATTGTTATTTGGGATTTAACAAACAATAAAACTGCATGCAATAGTAAGTTTTACGTAGTCCATAGCTATCCAG